GTTCATAAATATCCATATTCCTACTTCGTTTTAGTCCTCCGAATGTTTCAAGCATATGACATAACTTTTTAAAGCACATTCGAGACATCCTAATTTGTGATATAGACATGGTGTCACTCTCATAAGCTATTTCATGTAGTATTGGGTATCGATCTATATTTGAAGAAATCCGCTTAATACGTCGTTTATCTATATGGTTTTTGAACATCATTAACAGGAGGAGTACAACAATGTGCAAAACCACATTCCACCATTTCAAAATCAATGAATTTTGTCTTTGTCTACGATTATATGTTGTTAAACTAGGTCGGGACATTTTCCTGTGCATACAAACAGATGAACAGTTTTATTTTCACATTTGCTGCTGTTACAAGATGTTCTAATTGATTAATTAATAACACTTTGATTTCCAGGAAGATAAACAACATGGTTTTCATAGAAACAACACTTTTGAATAAAGCATAGATCTTCACAGAAACAACTTGATAATCAATGTTACTGATAAAACTAAAAAAGAGCAACTTTGATTATCACTGAAATCAGGAAATCGAGAAGAACAATTTTGATTATCACTAAAAAAGAACAACTTTGGCTCTGTATTCAATTTGCATTTTCCCCAATTTTCGATCCAGTTCTTACAAGAAGTGATTAGAGGTTAAATTCTCATTTGCATTCTATTATATAAAAAAATTAGTGCTAATTAATTTTGGATTGAGCCTCTCAGTCGACCCTTTTCTTGTTGGTTTTGTGGATGTTCAATATTGGGATTAAAAGAGCGAATTTTTGCAGGAAACAATTTAGATATACATGTTTCAGGAAATCGATTTTCACTGAATAAATATTGGTAATCGATTTTCCTAAAATCGACTTATCACAACAAGAAACAGTGGGCAAGATTATGAGGGGGAGAGAGAGCGCTAGAGACAAACAGCGAGAGATTTGTACACACACCTGACAAAGAGATGGAGAACGAGAAGCCTGCAGTTCGATTTTGACGGAGAAGGAGAAGCCTGCAACGCGATGGAGAAGACGAGTGCTATGAGATGTCGGCTGTGATGTTGGACGTGTCCAATTTTGAGGAATACGATTCGGATAGGGTTTTGTTTTTAGAAGGATTTTGTTAAAATAAAAGGGGTATAATGGTAATATTTCACTTTCCTAGATGGTATGGAATTATTTCCATCAGTTTGTAAAAGAATTGTAGATTCCAACGGATGAAGGAATGTTTTCCTCATTTAGGATTCCCTTTCCTTCCTTAAGTTGAACCAAACACAGGAATTCGAGGGAATTGGAATCCTTTTCCCTCGAATTCCAATCCTTTCCTTCCAACCAAACGCAGCCTTAGACACCTTATCCAACAACCAAGACCGGCTAGGTCAAAGTCATCTCAATGGCCGACTTCAAGTTCAAAATCAAGTGCCGAGGCACCCATCCGCTTGAAAAAAAATGGGTTAAACCAAACTACAGATGGGTACCAAAGGTTCATTCTCCCAAATCTCCTAATGATTCTAATATTTCTACATCTTCTGTTTGTGATAAACAGGACATGTCATGGGAGAAAGTATCTTGCGTTGATGACAAAGGTTGACCCAGTTTCAAAATGGGCTGGGTTCCAAAGACCAACTGATCCAGCTCTGTGTCGGAGCAGCTATGGAGGCATATCATCAGACTTTGGTTTGTTGATAGTGGCTGCTCCTGGCACATGATAGGAGACATCTCTCAACTGTGCAACACTCAAAACTTTGTTTGAGAGTATGTGTCCTTTGTGGGAAAGGAAGAAAGGAAGGGATCACTCATGTGGTTAGTGCTTAACGATGTGAAGAATTTTCGGATCTGTTCTGAGATTATGCGTGCTGTTCTCAGACCTTCTGGATGAAAATTCAATCGGTGACTTACGGTTTGAGTTTTCTTCTCGATTCTCCTGAGTTTATCTTACACTGTTTCATTTCAAAGACATTTTTCTTTAATTTCTTTATATGTCTTTCTTTAGTAGGTATTGTTTTGGGAAGTGATATGAAGTCTAGTGCTAAAGGGCAATATGCAATTCGTGTAATGCACTAAAGCCGAATTGTCTAGACTTTGTATTCAATGTGCTGGTAGGCACAAAGGATTCAAAAGGACTAGACATTGATTGACCATGAAAGGACTAGACAATATAGACTTAGATAGTTCATTTGGACTGCCCATACGACGCTCGGGTAGATTGAGCAGTGAGATAAACATGGGAACCTGCGAGATACACTAAAAGTTAATTATCTAGAACTGTGGCTTAACTCTTCCTTGATGTACGAACTTATGTACTTAATTCTGTACCTGATAGGGCGACTGGGGGTTCTGATAAAGTAGGTCTGTAGGAAATTATTTTCTTGCTTTCTCTCTGTCAGTCATATGTTGCTTCCTCTGCGTGATTGGAACATATCCGACCTGGAATGCAACATATGCAACTCTATCTCTACGCACCTCCTTATCTATGAAATTCTTTCTATCTGCTAGTCATATGTTGTCCCCTCTGCGTGATCGGAAGATCTGACCTGGGACACAGCATATGCACTCTACTATCTCTCTAAACCCCTATCTATATTAGTCATATGTTGTTCCCTCTGTGTGATTGTAAGACATCCGACCTGGGATACAACATATGCACTTCTATATCTGACTTCTTTCTTAATGATTGAATACTCACCTAAAGTAAGGAGTTCTTTGGAAGTTCTTCATTACCGGGGTATATCGGGAAGTGGGGAACACGTTCTAGTGCAACTAAAATTGAACCATTTAGAGGTTGTCTATAGATCTTGCTGCTTAATTTAAGTGGACAACAATATCCTTGGTCGTCGTTAGCTAAATGTCCATTTAGGAATATATATATATATATATATATATATATATATATATATATATATATATATATATCACAATGACTTGTCACTTTTAATCTGTCCAAATTGTCAACATCCTTTGTGTTTACGTGGACTACAATACCGGTGGTTGGCCAGATCTAGACATGCAGACGTGTGCTGATAAACGATATTGGATTGCTTGACAACTTTGATCCCAAATATTTTTGTTTTTGTTAAATTTGTTTATAGTTTTCCTCTATGCACAAATTTAGGGGGAGAATTAAAAAAAAATTCAAAAATCAAACAAAAATCAGAAAATTAAAAATCGAAAAATAGTGTTACTTCTGTTTTATTTCTTCTTCAAGAAAATCAAAAATCCAAAAATATTTTTGTTTCTGTTTTATTTTTTCAGAAAATATGAAAAATCCAAAAATATTGTGTGCTAAGTTTTCTTTTAGTTTTGTTTTGTCTTGAAAAGTGAATTCAGATGTAGATGAGACTCATGGAGACTGAATCGAAAATTTCTGAGCCAAGGCTTCATCCATGAGCATCGAAGAATTCTCATTCGAAGGAGCAAGAAATGAAGATTATTCTTTCAACATTCAATCCTTCAACCCCTGAAGCAAGGTGAAGCTGACTTGAAGATTATGTGACAAGTTGCATTGAAGCCTCATCAATCAATTTGCTGCTATTCTTGAACCTGCTGAAGTGATCTAGAAGTTTTGTTCTCTATTGTTCTCTCTGAATATTCTCAAGCTGAAAGCGCCATCTTTCAAGAATCTTTTCAAGAAGCCTCCTCACCGAACGTGCGTTCAATGCCAAATTCTGAAGAAAAGCCCAAGTGCTCAAGATGAAGTCATTTATTGAAGATTCATCATGTTAATCTTGAAGCTGTGAAGAATTTGAAGATTAATGTTGAAGCCAAGCTCCCAATGAAGATTGATAAGAAAAGCCAACTACTTTTTATGGGGAGCTTGTTGGGTCAATTAGAAAAGAAAGCTTTAAACCAAGGGGGAGATTGTTGGGTCTAAAATATTGGTTTATACTTTGCTTTTCAAGGAAAATATATTTTTATGTAGTTTTTGTGTATTAGTGTACAACCGTACTCCTGTGTACGACCGTACACGGGTGTACGGCTGGTGATCCTATATATAGGGTGAGGAGTGCATGTGTAAGGCTAGAGAAGGAGTGAAAGGCTGGAGAAGAGGAGCATGTTCTAGAGAGAGAAACTAGACAGAATAAGAGTGTGTGTGAGAGAATCTTGTGTAAGGAGCATCATTTATATAATCAATACATTCAAGATTCAAATTATTCTTCTTCTCCTTCTCTTCTATTTTGATCTGGCATCATCCGTTTGATTGGGATTCCGCACAATCAAACGGATCTGATTGATACTCAAGCAGATTGGGGACTTACAACAATTCACAAAACATTGATCGTATGATACTGATACAAATTATATATATGAAATATAATATCAATAATGGAATTTGTTATAAAAACACGATTTCATTCAATATCAAAAACAATATCACGTCCAATAGGATATACTTATTTAGGAAATTTCTCATCTAATAATTCCTTAATTTAAGCAAATCCTATCAATTTTTTTAATTATACACTTTTATTTATGTTAATAGAGAACAACAAATTTTGGAGCTGGCATTATCAATGGATTATTAATTCTATAATGGTTTCTCTTAATTACTTTAATGATGATGATGTGGAAATAAAAAATGAATGAAATAAATAATAAAATGACATGTGGAAATAAAATAGCTCCAAAATCTTGAGAAAATTACATGTGGCAAAAGGATTTTCATTTATTAGGGTAGATAATAAAATGACAAATTTAGACATAAAAAATATCACCTGTGTGTAGAAGCGAGGAACAGCAATAAGAGCATTTAAAATATTGGCCAAGATATTCCCATCTGGTGGAGGGTATGCATATCTAAAATTTTTGAACCGCTCCCGGAACCGCCAGAACCGGTTCCGGTTACGGGTACCCAGTTGCTAAAAACTTTTAAACTATTTTAAGTCAAATATCATGAAATTCTTTAACAATTATCTTATAAATAGAGACCCGACGATTTATAACAAGCATATCCATGATCACAAATAAGATGTGAGATAGGATGCAAAGTTATCCGTTGCTCACCCCTAAACCCATCCATCTCCATCCTTGGCTTGATGATATTGACTACAATCCTGAAACATACAAGCCTCATTAGTTTATATAAATATGAAAATAAACAAAAAGGTTGAATCTTTATTATCATTTTAACGACCCACCTGGCACCGACTTTGACCGATTTGTACATACCCATATATGCATTAGGTCACATTTTGTGCAATGTATACGTCTTGATTCATCAGAAAAGTAATCACTAGTCGCTTGACGAGATGAACTAGCAGATTTGTGAAACAAAGTTTTTGAATCTTGGTTTCTCAAGTGATCATCATAGTCCCTTTTCTTTATAGAATCAGAAAGAATCTGAAAATTGGTGTGATTATGAGTTCAAGATCTTTATATATATAAAATTATAAGATATACTGATATACTTGCCTCATATGCAAATTGAACTTTCTTAAATGATTCACTTGCCAATGGGTTTCCCATGTTTTTATCAGGGTGCACTAGCATGGCCTATAAGGGATCAAAACGAAAGTCAATTGACCAAAAAAAGAACCAAAAATTATATTGAATATTGCATTACCTTTTTCTTGTATTCTTTCTTCAACAAGATAGCATCATTCTTATCATATCGAGTCAACCCTAGTGTTTCATAGTGATCCACACAGCTTATAATTCTTTCCATTTCATTGACTTCATTTTCATGGGTTTTGACCATGGGAATGGAGATGGTTGACTTTGACTCTTTCTTCTCTTTGTTCATAAAAGTTGGCTTATTGCTTTAAGATTTACACGAGTTGACCTGTTCATGTTCATCTTCCTCACCATTAACACAGAACTTGATCTCTGTAATGTCATCTTCAAGAAACGACTCTGGAACTTTTGGTTCTTCAAACTGTGTCATTTCACTCTTTTCACTCAAATCATCACACCATTGGAGCATAAATGTCAATGCATCACATTATAGGAAAGCAAGATTAATCGATACCAAAACTCCAGACCACCCAACTTAGTGAAAACAAGAAACCTTCAAAATTTAACATAGAGCCAGCGATCCAAAAGTTAGCATACATCCTTAAGATTAAAATGGTGATAAGTCCCACCATTAATAGACCAGGAGTGTAACCTAGATAACGAACAACACAAACAACAGTTACCTGGAAAAAAGGAAAACGATTAGCGACTTTCAGGGCAATGAACGAAGAATTTGAAGTTTTGTAGGGGAAAGTTGGTAATCTTACCATACTCAGAAGAATATATAAGAGGCACGACATTGATGTCAAACTAAGAAAACAACTCCATATAATGATGAACAGAGCCGCTGTGCCCAAATCGAAAACCGATTTACATCCGTGAAGAAGACAATCCTTCCACTGAATCATCGAGAAACACAATAGGTTACCCAGTCTTCCAAACGCATAACAAACATTCGGCCAATTTCGTCTTATAAATCCACTAAAACCAGAAGTTGTCTTGTTCGCTGCAACAGAGCAACAAAGGCTCTCCAATAGCAGCCACTTCCAGTCTTCATTGAAAACCCCAAATTTCTCCATTGATACCCAACGATTTTGATCAACAATTATGATTAGAACACATATTACAGAAAGTGTTTTTGAAACTCTGAAAATCTCGATTATATGTAAGGGGGAAATAAAAGCCCTAGTTTTTGGTTGCCATTTTGTGATCTTCAAGAATTGACGCGCGTTTTTAAGAAAAAAATTATAAAACGATTATATAAATTAGTATAGCAGAGATGGTATCGTGATTTGGGTTTGCAGAGAGAAGGGAAGAACAGAATGAAGGGGGATTTGAAGCAGGGTATTGGAAAATTTTAGAATTTTAAGAACACGCGTTTTGAGTAAAAATCATAAAGCGACATTCACAGAGGACGCACATTTTAGATAAAGTGCCCTCCGTGTTTTTATTTTTTTACATTAGACACTAATTTAAGGGCACGCAATAATGTGTGACCTAAATCCTTAAATTTTTTAAAGAGACGACACTTTTTTAATGTCACTCTCTTTTGCGTAACGTAAATCAATGAGTGTCGTGGTTTGCGCATCGTAAAAGGGTCTTTTTCTTGTAGTGATACCAAGTACCTACGTGTTACATGAAAAGTATGAGTTCTATCTAGTAGTTACAAGAAGTACTAGTCTCTTCCAGACATTCTTTCCAAATAAGAGGTGTAAATCCTCTTCCAGTGTCCAGTTTCTTTACAAAAGAAACAAGATCCATCTATGTGGGCTTTAGTATATTTCTTGGGCTTAAAGGTGTTCAGTCCATAAAATATGGGCCTCCTGGATCACACAAGGTGATTCTCTTAGCCTTGCATTATTCTAATGTTTAAACTAGCTTTAAATAAAATATCATTGTATTTATTGGAATATTGCTTATCATCGGATATATGTTTAAACTACCCAAGACTTCCTATAAGTCATGAATAACTATTCCTAGCTTGATGTTAGAAGCATCTTAAGCATCACAGTGATGCCTTTACTAGGTATCATGTTCAGGTTTAATCGCTCAAAGCAAATAATTCAGGATTAGGACCTTTAAGTATATACAATTTAATATCTCTTACGAGATTGTCTCTTAAGACATGAACCCATTCATTAAAGTTGTATCTAGTGAATGTTATTGTTTCATTAAGTCATTAACCTATTGGTACTATCGAACATACTGATGGATGTGACGTTTTGGTTACTACGCGGTTTTCAAGGAAAAGTGATCATCACTTTTTCAGACGTGGCTATCCTTACGGCACTAGCTTCGCTTTTCTAGGTGACACGTGGCTTATCATTTAATGCGCAAACCGTTTGGAATTCAAATTTGGTGTACGGATAAAAAGGGATTTGGGGATTCTATTCCAACTTTACGAACACTTAATATTCTCAAACGATTTGTGTTCTTTTCTCTCTGTAATTCTACAAGTTCTTCAAAACCATAACAATGGGGGCTAAGCAATCTCACACCACTGAAGATGTTTCATCCCAACCAATCATAAAGATCCAAAGCACTAACTACCAAGTTCTTGGAGATATCGATGCTTATCCAGAGGGTTTACATATGCTCATTGTTGCTCTAAAAAATTCCGTACTGTCAACTGCTATGTTCAATTCATTCTCAGTACCACTTTCTTGGTTGTCGCTAGTTGGATCTATGGCTACTTACAACAAGATGATGAAGATAGTGATGTTTCAGTTGGTAAATGACAAGAAATGTAGGTTATCCAATAAACTCTTTGCTCATATTCTAAATATCCCAAATGTTGAACCTTTCTACAAGGTCACTAATGAACAAGTCATTCTAATGTTCAATGAGATGGGTTACCAACCTATTCTTACCAAAGTCAGTGAGTTTAAGAAGTCTGGATTGCCTTGCATTTGGAACTTCTTGTTTGGCATATACCTTCGATGTCTGACTGGTCAAAGTGTTGGGTTGGATAAAGAGCGATAGGAAGTATATGCGATGGTAGCAGGGATTTACTACGATTTACAGGTGGACTATGCAACTCAAATTTGGAATGAGTTTGTCAAGAGTATTGGAAATATGAATGTTGTAGATGGGATTTCTTATGCTCGATACTGGAGCTTAATTTACAATTTGTTTATGAGAAAGAAGGGATTATGGTTCCTGAAGGCGAAGAAACAACAGAATTCTCAACATATCATTATCCTAAAACAGTCGAAGACAGTCCAGATGTGTTTCCTACTATTGCTCGTATCCCAGATGCGATGCTTAGTAAAGTTGATCCAGCAAATCCAGTCTTGGTCGAATATTTGAAGACTATTAATCCATCTATAGAGACAGACAAGTTATTAGAAAAGTATACTGAAGGTCCTTCAAAGAAGCGTAGAGGATCAAAGAAGGATGCCCAGCCTAGTCCTTCAAAAGCCAGTCCAGTTGAAATACCAACACCAGTATCTCCAACTTCGAAGAAAAGGCGTGCTGAAGACATGGCCAAACGCATTTCGAAGAAACAAAAGAAGCAGAGGAAGTTGATTCTTAATGAAGACTCCATGGAAGATGAGGTAGTTCCTGAATCTCCACTTGAACGTGATAAAACAGGCAATTCTTCACTTGTGAGGGGTTCTCCAGTCAAGTCGAATACTGAGGCTACTGGAAACTTCTAAAATGGACACAACCATCAATCAAGGTGAACCACCGCAGACTTCTACTCCTGAGAAGACCATAGTCAGACCACTTGGAGTATCGACAGCCGAATCAAATTTTGAGGAGGTTCGCACTTCAGGCATCACTGCAAACGTATCTGATACGGATGCAAATGTCAACAAGGGTGATGGAGTATCGAATAATGAAGCCCAAGGTAATCGTTTGATTCTTGTTTCTACTACTTTCGAAACCTTAGTTGTTGATACCACGGTCTCTTTACCTCCATTTCTTATTCCCACTTCATCTGAAATACCTGCATCAACCCATTCACCTACTTTCGATAATGTCATGCAACAACCCATTACTTCTTTATTCCCATCCCAATCCACAGAAACTCCAAAAACCGTTCATGATGATGAAACAGATGATGGTGAGTTCATGGGGTCATTTTCCGATATCGAGTTTGATTCTGAAGAAGAAAATATACCAGATCACATGTTGATGTCCGGAAAACAGTTCAAGATTCTGAATAGAAAACTCAATTCTTTACTCCAATTACAAGCGAATGCAGGGGGTAAACATTCGGTGTCAGGCATAGATGTGGATGTGATGCTGAAAGCTCAAGAGCATCGGATTCAACATAAACTTGAACAGATGGATAGGGATATTTGGTCACGGTTCAAAACTCAATATGATTCCTTCAATGGCGAACTTAAATAATTGAAGGTGGGGTTAAACAATGCATGAAAGGAAATAATGTTACGTGTCATTTCTGATGAGTAGCGACAATTTATTAAATCTAAAGTAACATCATTACTAAGCATTAGACTATAAAATCATATCTTGGTGACAGGTGAAGATCGGCTATTCCCCACGATCAAGTTTATTTTGTCATGCTCCACCTCCTAACTTCTTCTTAGACCCTACAAATCATAGAAAATGTGAAATCCACATCCTGTATCAAGTACCCAAGAACAAGAAGATGATGAGTTATTAGATGAAATAGTGTATATACCTGCAGAAGTTGGCTTCACTTTTTCATCTTTGATATCTTGCAGATACTTTGGACAACTTCATTTCCAATGCCCCTTTTCGTTGCAGTAAAAGCAGATAGCCTATTTGGGATCAGAAGAGGGTGGATGCTCAAAACTGGACTATCCTTTAGGGCCACTGCTGGATGACCCCGCAAGAGGCTTTCCCTTCTAGTTTTGCTTGGGAGGACCTTTCCTCTTTTTACCCTTTCCTTGTCCAATAGCCAGGAAGGAGGCTCCCTCCTTGATTGTGCAAGCCATCAGGGCTTTGACTACTTCGTACTTTTCTTGATGAGTTTGCTTGTGGAAATTTTCCATAAGGTCCATGTTCATCTCATACGGCCAATAGTCTTCATAAAATCTATGCAACTCAGGAGTCATGGTGGCTAACATGATGAAAGCAACTTTTGTTGCATCATTGCAGTGCCTTTTGTAGGCGGCTAATTCTTTAGGAGTGGCCTTCTCTTCATCAATTTCATTTAGTTCTTTCTCAAGGACATATTCCTTGTCCTCGAAACGAAGGGCCATTTGATGTTGCGCATCCAGTCGTTGTAATTGGTGTCATCCAATGTCACCTTTGAGCAGATGTTCAACAACGAGAAGTTTTAGTTGGATGAGGAGGAACCAGAAGCATCATTTGGAGTATACATCTGAATATGGAAGGTAGTTTTAGTTAGATCGGAATAATCCTTAATATAATAACCCAGAATAAAATATTAAGGCTAGGATCCAACTATATAATTCACAACTTAGAAAAGGGATTTCGTAATCTAATTGTAAATTTTTTAAAGGTAGGTAAATGAAGATTTACCAATTCCAGCATAGCAGAACGAAATTAATTTAAGTGAAATTCCTAGGTCTTTTGAGATACATTGAAACTACTCAATGGCATGTTTAATCTCAGATTACGCTCTTCTATTTATGATTGGGATGCCGAGGATCACAAACAAGATGTGAATAACCATGCAAATGTGCTTGGTAACCTTATTGTCATTTATCATCTCAATTGATGTGTTGGTAAACCACACACGCTCCATCAACAATGATAATTTATGAGATACCCATTACCACTCTTTATTAGTCCCTATTAGTGTGCTAGTTAACCACACAAACTCCACTAATGACATATAAAGTGTAATGTGCAATTTCATGGGTTAGCATACCAAATTTACATTTTTCTAAAGTAACTAAGATTGGGATTTTAAATAAAAAGGTTTAGTTACTTTTTAATAGCATTATACTTTTAATGAGAATTAATTGTCCTATCAAATCTGTTCGGCTAACGACACTCCACTAATCAAGGAAGCGGTGGGTGAGAGTGGACACCCATTCAACTACCCTTTTATAGGCAGTTTCCTTATAGCCCCTTATAGACTAGCTTCGTGGATGAGGTGTACTAGCGATTTGAC